AGGCACTATCAATGTACACGCCAAGATCCTTCACACACAGTACACGTTCAATTGGCATGATATCAAGATGATAAGTAAAACTGAAAGGCACATGGCGTCGGCACAAGGATAGGACCTTTGTTTTTGCAGGATTGAGCAATAATAGATTTTGTTCACACCACTGAAAAATGAGGGACACATCACGCTGTAGCATCTCGCAGTCCACAGGAGAGTGAATCATTCTAAACAACTTGATATCATCAGCAAAAAGTAACAACTGGGAACTCTGGACGCAAGATACTATATCATTTATAAATATTAAAAACAAGAGAGGGCCCAGGATTGACCCCTGTGGAACACCTGACGTTGAAAAGTAACTATGGGAATAACTATCAACAACGCGAACAGAGTTCGAGCGGAGTGACAGGTAACTCTGGAACCACTGACATAACTCTGGGGATAGACCATATAAAAATAATTTATGCAAGAGTAATTTGTGACTGACCTTATCAAAAGCTTTAGTCATATCAAAGTATATTGTGTCTACCTGCCCCCTATTTGTAACAAATGGAGCGCAAAAATCAAGAAAAGTACACAAATTAGTCTGGACAGGAACCCATGCTGCAAAGGTGTTAATTTTTGACGGAAATAAAAGAGCATCCGGGTATGTACAACAATCTCGCAAACCTTAGAAAACCCACAGAGCAGAGAAACAGGACGATAATTCGTAACAACCGAGGCATCACCACTCTTTAAAATCGGAACAATAACTGATTTCTTCCAAAGAGATGGAAAGACCCCAGAACTAAGCGAAAGATTAAATATGTGCTTTAAAATGGGAGTAAACAAATCACCGCATCCCTTGATTATAAAACTCGGTATACCATCAACACCACTTGAAAACTTTGGTTTTAATTTTCTTATCGCTTCCGCAATTTCGACATGATCCACTTGTACGGAATGCAAGAAGACATGACAGCTTATCTTATCGTCACCAGGCTGGAAAGACCCGTGGCAGCTAGTGTAACATTTGCTAAAATAATCGGCAAAAATATTTGCAACGTCATCAGGCGACGAATGATAGGCCGGTGTGTGCACCACATCATCACGTAAACAGATGCCTCGACTTGCATCGCGCGTGTGGTGTTTTACAAACTGCCAGAACTTTTTTGGTCGACGAATCAAGCTATTCTCAACGCTATCGAGGTGAAAACGTTTATCACGCTTGAACAATTTTTTTGCTAAAGCACGATATATGCTAAATTTGGGGTACCAAAGTGTATAACCAGTATTTTTGAAGAGTCTGTGAAAATGTTCTTTTTTGCGGAGGTATACTTTAAGTTCTTGCGAAAACCAGTTAGGATAGATGGAAATTTTGTTTATGTTTTTAGGCACAAAGCTATCGATAGCATCTTTAGTAACTGAGGTAAGCGTCTCGCTAACGCGATCGACATCCGACATAGCAAGAACATTGCTCCAGTCAAAATTCTCGATAGATCTATAAACACTCATATAATCACCTTTCGAAAAGCAATAATTTGATGGCATACACGATACTCGTGACCTGAAGGGAAGATAAAACTGGACAATAAAAGGTGGATGAAAAACATCGATCTGTACAAGGGGATCAAAGGCAGGACTCAAGTTTAAAATCGGTATATTCGAAAGAGCAAGATCAAGAATATTTCCTACGCTATTTTTTATCGTATTGTGCTGTTCGAGCCCGCAGAAGTTTATAAAAGATAATAACGAAGATGCTTTGTTAGTTGTGATGCTGTTGCTATTCACATTTTGAAGTACCCAGTCAACACCTGGTAAATTAAAGTCTCCATATATTTGCACACGATGCAAATGGACTACAAAAATAGACAGTGAAAAAAAAAAGAAGTGGTTCATCTCGTTTTGCAGCTTTTCAAGTCCAATCACAAACAACCAAGAACGTACGAAACAAAAAGTAATGATGATGTAAACGAATAAATATTTAGTGTCGGTTTCAGTTATTTCAAATTCGATTAAAGCTTTATACCATCAGTTGGTGCAGAAAGAAACAGTTTATTTCTATTATTTTGAGCTCTCTTAAAATTTTTGATTGTATTTACTGAGGAAGAGAAAATGCACACACACGTAGCGTTTCCGTTGTCGATTTGACTGTCCAGAAGAATATAGGAATACCGTCAGCGCAGACGGGTTCGCACTGGCTCGACTTTCTAAAATTAATTTCCGCCAACTAGAAATTTATCTCCGTTTTTGCACTTAATGCTGGAATGGCATACACTAACGGCGCTGCAACAATGAAGTGCGGAAAGTCGAACTGGCGCGAGTTCAACCACTCCGAAGGATTGCACTGTGTCGTCGATCTACCAGAAAAAAGGCACTTGAGGTTTCTTCTACTTTCTAATGGCTTGTACGTTTTGCGTGTGTGTGTGTGTGTGTGTGTGTGTGTGTGTGTGTGTGTGTGTGTGTGTGTGTTTTTATCAAAGAACATTTTCTGCTCTTTCACTGCCAACCAAGAACATGCTTTTCCAGTTGGACTGATGCTCCTGCATTTTTTACTTTTTCTATGGACCGCATTTTTTGCGATACATAATGTTCTAAAGCGATATTTGATGATAATCCAATGTTTCTTGACGTAAAGAACAATTTTCTCCCCTATTTGTGCCTTTCTATCAAAGAGAGTAGTTTTCTTCCGCAGTACATTCGGTGATGCATTTCATTGTATCCTTTACCTATTCACTATAATTTATGCTGTCACAGGTTTGTGGGCCGCCTCGGAAAAAAATGTTGATCCATACTCGCAGATATCCGCCTTCGATCCACATCCGCAGGCCCTGGCATTCGCATCTGATACGTAATCCGCCAAGTCTGATTCATTCTTATCCGTATCCCACAGTTTACTTCGGATAAGCAATGCTCCAACTATAATTATTGTGATTTCAGCATTTCTTATAGTGCGAACACTGGGTGTATTATTAGCGTGCCACAATAAAAAAAAAAAAAAAGATATAGCTTGTGTAGGGTTCTTTTAACTCCGGTGCTACATTGAGAGTGCTGGGGGCTATTAGGAAAAGTACTATTTTGGTTCATTATTCAAACAAATAATTAAAACGCTTTAGTCCTTTTGCTTATAATTGCGAGGCCAAATGTAATCAGACAACCCTCGTTATTGATTCGCCGTGACGTGAAATGTTGATAAAAAATTAGCAAAGGTCGCCACGAGGGAAAATGTCAGCCTTGTACTTGGTGTGAAAACCGAACCCAACCAGCGAAGCGCGCCCATGACGTGCTAATAATTGGGGGGTTGTGTAGATATTTATACAGCGTGTAGTTGGTTAGTCACTTCAAAGTTGCGACGGGTCACTCGCTGTAGATGAGCAATTTAGCCAGTGCAGTACAACCGCTGCCTGGGGCCTTTAACGTGCACCACGCATGTGTGATACACCACCGCACGCCGGTACGATGCTCTTTCAAATCGGAACGGGCAGGGAACCCAGGATCCCTGGGCTCTGCAGCGCGAGCTTTAGCTGCACGTGCTCCGAGCTGGTGTGCGCTAGCCCGCTCGGCCATCCACCCCTGCCCCCCACCCCCACCTCCTTCCCCCTTGACGCACTGAGACGAATAAACAATGTTTCCTGGTTTTAGGTTTGTTAAAGGTGCCCTGCAATTATTTTTAAGCGTCTGCCTTTTTTTGCGGTTTCCACGACTCTTGTGGTTCGGGCAAGCCAGCGGGCACGGAGAGATTAAGTAAATATCTGTGCGTCATATTTTAACCGGACGACGTGAAAACCTCCTCCACCTATGGAGGCGACCCGCGGTGCCTAAAGCGCGCAATATGTGGCGACATCGTGTCGTTTTAGGTCCTTGCCTTTCTACTGGTCAGAGCTGCTAAAAGCTTCTTTTTAGTCGAAATACAAAATATAAGTGGCGCAAGCCGTTTTAGTTATTTATGAAAGTAGTTTTTTTTCTTCAGTATTATAGATCAGGAAAGAAACAAATGGAGTTTATAAATTACGGAAATAAGAAATGACCCGTCGGACATACTCGCCATCATGCGATGGAAAAGGCGGCGCATAGTAGAAAGGTGTAGTGGTATCAGGCACCGACCAGTGGCGAGCGTAGAAAGGTCCCGGATGTACGCGGCGGCGCTTCAGTCGAAGATCCGACCTTTTCCGAGCGTTCCGAAGGCCTTCGCAAACAGCTTTGGCTTGCGGTTTGGCCCTTTGGCGGTATGGCAGCGCGAAGTGGCTCCCGTTCTGAACGGATCTTTATTTTGTGTTTGCTGTCCTTTGTGGCCAATGAAGTGTCGTGCAGAATTAGTGTTTAATCGCGCAGCAAATGCAATGCGAGCTGCCCAAGCTGCCCGCTTCATACAGCCTATCCAGAACATGCTTTAGTGGCGCTCTATTCAGCCGTCGACACGGAGTGCAGCAGCCGTGAGCGCTCGCTGAGCTCGCTACCCCTCCTCAAGTTCACGGCCGCTCAAGCAACCAAGGTCGTCATGAAGGAGGTTACTTTTTGCTTGTTTTTGTAACTTTATTTCGCCTATAACTTTTAAAATGAAGCGAAATTCGAGAAAAGAAATATTTAATTGAGCTACTACGTTCAGCGCCCTCAAGTTCGGTGTAAATTAAAAAAAAACAGTCAAAAAGTTTTTGCAGGGCCTTTTTAAGGAGTTAGTTAAGCACATTGGAGCCTTCTTATGTCTTCCAGTATTTCAGCTTGTTAAACTCGAACGTTTCTCGCGTTTTCTTTTCTCATGACCCTCTCTTCTGTTCAGAGGTCTACTTTGACTTAGTGTGCTGACGTGCTCTGTGGCTGTCTCAGACCGGACCTCAAAGACAGCCTGGCGGCTTGACTAAGGTGTCAGTTTTCGTCAATAGCACTAGATTTATGTTCAGCGTCGGTTCTGACACTAACCTTAGATAAGAGAGAGTATTCTAAAACGTGCTCATTAACAAAATGCTAAAAATTGGCTGCTTATTATGTGCTAGACAATCTTTAAAACAATAAACTCAATATTCCAGATGCACCGTCGCCTATGGTCCATCCACTGTGTTCTTCGATGTGCTGCGTGAGCTTGAAAAAGGAGACTACGACGTTTCTTCAATTAGAAAAGGTACAAGCATTGATTGCATAAATCAGTAGCGTCAAATATTTTGACATGGACTCTGCGTCGGCTCACCTTAATAGTGAGTGCCGGGAGGACCATGGAAACGGAATGCTAGCTTTTGTCAGAGACTCAACTGGGCAAATACAAACTAGTAGAGAAGGCCTCGGCATGACGCATTCGTGAGTGGATTCTCGACTCGTCGCAAGCGAAAAACACGCGGAAGCATAGAGAGAGTCGACAGAAAACATCAGACGCCTCGGTCTTGGCGTCGCCAGGCGCTAGCGTCGCGCTCGTTATGCTACGCTGCTAGACGCGTCGCCTGCGATGCTGAGACAAGCTAGGTGGTGTTGCCTGGAACCACGAGTGATGACGTCTGGGGGCAAAAGCCGCGGGCCTAGTCTTCTCAGTGGTAATGCATTGATGCCCCTCGCCTTTTCATTGCACTCTGGTTCAGCTTTGGTCGCCCAAAGTCATGCTCTTGTCTTTGGTGCCTAAATGTGTGTAGCATTAAGAAAGGCTGGAGTTTGAAGATGGCGTAAAAATTTATCGCGAAGTTAATGCAACTACTGACTGCCAGATGATGCGATACGATGTTCAAGCAGTTCTAAATTGGTGTTTAAAATATAATTTGGTTATAAATTCGTGTAAGACCGAGGCTGCTTCCTAAACCCGTCAGACAAGCCGCACTAAATACCCGTATACCAGGTTAGGTTCAGCTATCGGAGGTCGGATACTGTTCGCGCCCTGGGAGTGCACTTTATATCCTCTTCTTGTTTACTAAGCACGTTTCAAAGATTGTGAATAACCCCTATGAGAAGGTAAGCGTTATTTCCCAAATGACGCTGAATTTTTGTACTCACGCGAGCATGCTAGTTTTAACGCGATACTGTTAAAGCTTGCGTGATAGCGTTAAAACTAGCGAACTCCTTAACGCGATAGCGTTAAGCAGCTCGATAAGATCCTTGACGCGATAGCGTTAAGGAGCTTGAATTGTAGAAAAACCAGACGTCCGTCGCGTGCTCTGAAATTCAGGACTGGTCAATAGGTTCATGACGTCACAGTCCCATGACCACGCGCGGGAATTTCAAACAACCCAAAACGTCTACGTGAAACGCGACGTCAAGCGCGGATTGAAGGTGGTTAAAAAATGTGACATGTTATCCGATTCAAAGCTCGCCGCATTTCTTAAATGATTTCACTTGATAAATTAATTCATTTGCCTTAAAGAAAATTTGGAAGAATTTCAGGCGGGATTCGAACCCACGACCCTTCGGTTGCGACCCAGGCAGGAACATGTTAATGACTCGGCGACGCAAGGCACGCTTGCACGGCTAGAGCAAATACCATTGACTACCAATACTGGAAACTCGAGCCAAAATACATGGGGTTGTCGGAGACACAGAAGTGCTGCCATCTCTCGGTGTGGGATGGTAAACTATGCGCTCGAAATTAAAAGTAAAACTGTCATTCACTACACTATTTCTTCTCTTCACACTATCAGGAATTGTGAATATATGGCAAATCGGTGTGCCGATTTCAATTGAGCAAAAGCTGATATACTGTATTTCTGATAATGAGGTGCGCTTCATATTAGCACTAAGTATTTAGATTATATAGACCTATGTATTACACCTGGTACAAATGACCTACTGGCAATTAGTGACTTTCTAGTAAATTGACAGTTTATGGACCATTCTAAAGTTTATGGCTGTTACTAGCTGTAGTGACTGGCTCTTTGCAGTTAGAAATAAAGCACAGCAATTCAAATATGTAATTGCTCCATGGGTAATTATTTTAAATTGTTTGAGATTCACTTCCAATGAGTCTGGAAATGCTACACGACGTAGTAATTACAGCCAGTAAATGCTACACTGGCTGTTTAACGAAGAGTCAGTATTTATAAGGAAGTAGAAATAGTGTCCGGTTCTTTTTTTCCTGTCATTTTGGGGGCCTGGTTAGCCTCGAATGACTGCAATTACTATTGGATTATATTTCTCGGTTATTTGAACGAGTATAAACTAGATTGCCTTCCAAGGGCTATTAATGGCTCTGGGCCAATATCCTAAGCTATTTCGGGGCATATAGACCAAGCAGCTGTTTATTAGGTAGTTCCATATGTGATAGACTTTAATGACCATTGGTGACCATTTCGTGATTTTTGTAATGTTATGTCTCAGATTGGATTTGAATGACTATTATTTGATATTTGATTTTATTTCCCAATTATATGGCGGATTTCGGTTCCAAATGACTTTTAATGACAATCAATGACTATTAGTAACTATTTTAAGTCATTTGATTGCGCGCGGCCTGAGTGGGCTTTCAATGGCTAATTTTGGCTTTTTGATCAAAATTTGACCCGTTAGATATGTAGTTCAAATGACTTCTAGTTACTTCTAATGACTTTTGGCCACTATATTGAGTTATTTGATTGTGTGCAGACTGAGCTGGCTTCATATGGCTATTATTGGCTATGTGATCATGTTTAGAAATTATATGGCAGATTTGGGGTCCAAATTACTTTCGTGACTATCAATCGCTATCGGTCACTTTTTCAACTTATTTGTTGTGTGCAGACTGAGTTGGCTTCCAATGGCTACTATTGGCTATACAATCATATTTATAATTATATGGCAGATTTAGGGTCCAAATGACTTCTAGTGATTGTCCATGATTATCAGTCCTTATTTCGAGTTATTTGATTGTGTGAAGACTGATTGGCTTCATAAGGCTATAATTGACTATATGATTATATTTATAAATTATATGGCAGATTCGGAGTTCAAATGACTTATACTGACTATTAATGACTATTGGTCACATTTTTGAGTTGTTTAATTGTGTGCGGGCTGAGTTGGCTGCCAATGGCTATTATTAGCCATACAATAATATTTTTTTATTTATATGAAAGATTCGTGGTTCAAATAACTTCTAGTGACTATCATTGGCTATTAGTCACTATTTCGACTTACCTGATTGTGTGCAGACTGAGTTGGCCTAATATGGCTATCATTGGCTATATGATTATGTTTATAAATTATGGGGTCCAAATGACTTGTAGTGACTATCAATCACTATCGCTTGGGGTCCAAATGGCTTGTAGTGACTATCAATCACTATCAATCCCTAATTCGACTTATTTGATTTTATGCAGGCTCAGTTGGCTTCCAATGGCTACTATTGGCTATACAATCAAATTTTTTATTTATATGGCAGATTCGGGGTCTAAATGACTTCTGGATTCTTTCAATGGCTATTAGTCACTATTTCGACTTACCTGATTGTGTGCAGACTGATTTGGCTTTATATGGCTATTATTGGCTATATGATCATGTTTATAAATTATATGGCGGATTTGGGGTCCAAATGACTTCTACTGACTATCAATGATGATCAGTCACTATTTCGACTTATTTGATTTTTTGCAGGCTGAGTTGGCTTCCAATGGCTATTATTGGCTATAGGCCTCTGTTATTGACCTGGCTGGCTCGAATTGCCAAAAAATGGCTATTAGTGCTTATTGGTTGCAATATTCTGCTATTCTATACTTATAAATGAAAATGGCTTCAAGTGGCTATTGTTAGCAATTGCATATCATAACAATATCACCTGAAATCGCTTCAGAATGAACATTAGTGACATTTAGTGACATGGTTTTCATGATGTTTTGAATATGAATGGATTCAAATGTCTACTATTATTGGCTCTAGGAGTTCTTGGCCAAATAGGCTTGAAATGGCTATACATGTCTATCAGCAACTATTATTGGCAATTTATGCAATTGGAGTGTGTATAGATTTGAATGACTTCAGCTGGATAGTATTGGCTATAGGCATCTGTTCTTGACTTGGTTGGCTTGAATTGGCTATTATTGGCTATAATCACCTGTTCCCGACTTGGGTGGCTTGAATTGGCTACAAATGGCTTAATGTGACTAGTATTTATAATTAGCAGCTATTTTTTTGTCTACAAACTGAAATGGCTTCATGTGGGTAGTTTTGGCTATTACCATATATTTTTACCAAACTGGCTTCAAATGGCTATGAATGACTATTCGTGGATATAGTTGACAATTCTATGCTATTTCAGTGATTATGACTGAAAATGACTTCAAATGGCTATTATTGGCTATTAGCTTGTATTATTGTTAGATTGGCTTAAAATGGCTATACATGGCTATCAGCAACTATTATTTACAATTTATGCAATTGGAGTCTATATAGATTCGAATGACTTCAATTGGATATTATGGGCTATAGGCATCTATTCTTGACTTGGTTGGCTTGGATTGGCTATTATTGGCTATAATCATCTGTTCCTAACCTGGGCGGCTTGAATTGGCTACAAATGGCTTAAAGTGACTAGCATTTATAATTAGCAGCTATTTCTTTGTCTACAAACTGAAATGGCTTCATCTGGCTAGTTTTGGCTATTACCATCTATTTTTTACCAGAATGACTTCAAATCGCTATGAATGGCTATTCGTGAATATGTATTGAATGGCTATGCACGGCTATTCATGAATATCCATTGAATGACTATGAATGGCTATTCATGAATATCCGGAATTATACTTGTTATAGCCATTGCTAGCCCATTGAAGCCAATCTGGTTAAAAATGAATGATAATAGACAACAACAGCTACTAAAAGCAAGTCCGGTTAGTTAACACTAAAATTGCTCATAACCATCAAGACTAGCCACTAATAGCCATTTGTAGCTATTTCAAGCGAATTTGATATATAATAAATGCTTATAGTCAATAATAGCCACTTGAAGCCAGTTTCGTCCATACACAGTGAAATACCACAGAATTGTCAATTATACTTAATAATAGCCATTGCAAGCCACGTGAGGAAAATCTGGCCAGAAATAGATGCTAATAGCCAACAATAGCCAATAAAAGCCAATCCAGTTAGTAAACATAAAACCTTCTTATAAATATGAACACTAGTCACTACTAGCCATTTGTAGCAATTTTAAGCCAATCTAAATGCTTATAGCCA